AGGACTATTTTGTAACTGAAATGATGGGTGATAAAGCTGTAGAGTTACGGGTGGTTGATACAGCGTATGTGGTCTGCTCTTCTTTTAGAATGGGTGCTTTTTTTACGTACAAAACATGATTCTAATTTGTTTATGTGTTTTCTTATTGTCCTTATTGATAGGGGACATGATGATTTTAGTGTAAGCATGGAATATTTATTCTTGAGTTGAAACTTAATGAACAATTAACATTGAAAAGTATTTTACTTTTTTAATATATAGTCTCAAAGAAAATCGGGATATTCGGGCGCACATGTAGTTTTAATGGCATTTGCAGTCGATTCGCGTGAGTCATTCGAAAGTATATCACAGAGGGTAACTAATTTACTATATTTATTCACCTTATTTTTCGATATGATTATTCGTATTTTGTACTATGGCTTATTCCATTTATTTTTATTGAAGTGGTTTGCTGAAGTAAAGCAATACGCGCCAACAGCCACCGTTATTCTGTTAGGTCTAAAGCGAGATTCTCGTGGAGATCCAGTGGTAATCGAGAAAATGAAGGAACGCGACGAGAAATTTGTTGATGTGCGAGAGGTATTAAATTATACCATTTTTATTATGACTTTATATACATTCACATTCTGTAAACTCATAATATTTAATGATGATTAGGCATTGCTACTCTCATCAACAATCTGTGCTAGAACATACATCGAATGCTCATCATACGTGGGCGTCAATGTACGAAAAGTATTCGAAGAAGCTATTCGTGGCATTGTAGAAGAATACGTTGAAGAAAATTCAGAGAATTCATCCTTAACATTGAATTGCATGAATGGAAAACGAGGGTCGCCATTGTGTGGGGGAGTTGTTTGTTTTTTCGGACTGGGAAAAACTAATAATAATAACAATAACAACAATAATAGAGGGACACGACGGAGGGCGGGATCGAACAATCATAATCATAATAATAATAATAATAATAATAATAATAATAGAGGTAGAAATAATGCAAGAAATAATAGGACTCGACGGGGAACTTGTGTGATTCTGTAATAACAGCAACAAGAATAATAATAATATAACAATAATGGTAGGAAAATATTAATAGAAACAACGTTAATAGGCGAAGGAGAAAAAACACTGCAAAAAACCAAAGTGTATACTTATCATCATCCACAAAGCAACCAATTCCTTTTTTATTAACCGTTATCACTATGAAAAACCTTTATTAAATGGGTAGCAATCTCATTTTTTGTACTATTTAGTATTGCTAGCATCTTTACCTTTACATTGTTTAGATATATAAATATGTAATAATCTATCATCATTTATATAGTACACCTAGCTGTCTTTCCGTAAAAGGAATGCTTTAAAGTCGAAATCAATATAAGATGAATGTTAAAAATCTTGTAAACTTTTTAAGACAAGCTGTTCTCAAGAAGCGCATCGTATTTGTATTTTATTTTTGTCTATCATCTTTACAATCTTCCCGCATATTAGCAAGAGCACCAATTAAATAAGAAACACAACAAAACCGAAAAAGAAAATGCTGTTTCTTAAGACATTACTGTTAAAAACAAATAATCAGAATCAAGAATAAGAAATATAGATTTACAAGATTTGCACTCGCTTTCATAAGTTCTTTTAGTGTTTCAAGCTGACTAGGATGCGCCGGCGCATAGCCGGCTAGCTGATTCAGTCGAGCTAATTTCTTTGATGCGGCGCAAGTCGATCACTGAAAAATTTCTAAATTAGGAAAATTATTATTATTATTATAGAATACTATTTACAGTTCAAATTAACATGTTATATAGTTATATATAGTTTAGTTCATGTATATGTATTACAATATACATGTAAAATCCTTTATACGTTCATCTTTTTTTCGCGTTTTATATTCTTTTCGCGTTTTATATTCTTTTCGCGTTTTTATATTCTTTTCGCGTTTTATATTCTTTTCGCGTTTTATATTCTTTTCGCGTTTTTATATTCTTTTCGCGTTTTTTTAATGAATCAAAAATCCAAAATCACTTTTATTAATTATGATGGAGAAACAGCACAATGGACATGACAATCAACTAATAAAACACAACAGTCAATTAATGAACTTATTCTTGTAGATTCTTATCCAAATTTATCTTGCTCACCCACTCCTAATAACAAAGTATTAATATCATCACGCATTTTCATTTCTAATAATCAAGTATCAGATTTATCAAATACTTCAACTTCTAATAATCAAGCATCAAATTCATTAAATACCTCTTTAAAGAAAATTAATTCATCTACAAATAAAGAAAGTTAGGTATGATCATATTTTAAGGAAAATAAAATTACAAAAAAAGTTATTTGTCAATTAACTATCAAAAATTCACAAAATGGAGAAAATATTCCTTGTCCAATTTCTTATAATCTTACAACTTCAACAATAAATTTGGCAACACATCTAAGAACAAAGCATCAAATATATCCTCCTATTAATCCAGTAATTTCAAATAATTCAAAACAAAAAACAATTAAACAAATATTTGAATCTACAAATCTCTTATCATATTTTAAACAAGAAAAAATACTTTTTCAACTTATTGCTTGGATTATTGATGACATGCAACCATTTCACATAATTACAAATAAAAAGTTTCAAGAGCTGATTCATGAATGTGAGTCTCATTTTGAATTTTCCTGTAATAATATAATAAAAAATAAGATTAAACAATCAGTTTCTTATACTAAAACACAATTAAATATATTAATAGATGAAATAATGATAAGATTTGCTTTTATTACTGACCTTTGGACAGCACATCATATTCTATATATTGAAATAATGATATATTAGATCTCTGCAAATTTTATATCATATCAAGCACTTTTGACAATTGAAAATCTTTCATATCCTCATACAAGTGATTATATTGAAGATGCTCTCCAAAATTTATTTGAGCAATGGAAAATATCACAAAAAGTTTTTGTTGGTATAACAGATAATGCTTCTAATATAAAAAGAGTAATATGATAACTTGGATACAATCATATAGGATGTATAGCCCATACTTTTCAGCTTATAATTAATGATGAACTTGAATTAATAAATGATGAATTAGTAAAAAAAGCAAAGAACTTAAATAATTTTCTTGTAAATCATGATAAATATCATGATAGATTCAGAAAAGTACAAGAAGATATTATAAATCAGACAAATCTTTAAACCTCACAATGCAAACCTCTTAATCCTATTAGTAGTGATAGTAAAATCTGATAGAACTCAATATTGGTTCTATTAGAATAATTTTTATTATTTCATCAAGCAATTCATGAATATCAATTACAATTTTTACATGATTTTGATCATCAAGTGCAAGCAGATGCTAATATTTTAAAAAACTTATTATTATCAGATGATGAGTGGAAATATTTAAATGAATTAGTAATTTTACTAAAACTATTTGTTATCATAACTACATTCTTAGATGAAAGTCAATATTTAACACTCTCACAAATATTTCTCACTTTTCACAAACTTTTTCATCACTTAGATATAATGAATTCAATACTTATCTATCCAGATATTCATATAGTTTTAGAAAAAATTCATGAATTATTAACAAGAAGATGGGAGAATTCAAATATTCTTGATTATATTACATCATTTTTGGATCCAAGATTTAAAAATCTAGCATTTATATCAGAAGAAAAAATTTAACAAATTATTAAAAAACTAAAGAAAAATATTATAGAAAGTATATCAATTATTTTTGAATTCTCTGATAATTCAGCTCAGATTTCTTATTTGCAAGATTAATCTCTTATGTCATTATTTTATGATGATTTTAACACTATGATAATTACTACTAAAATACCTATTGAATCAGAACTTTATATTTATCAAAACATGTCAGGATTACTAAAATATAAAGTATCTCATCCATTATATGTAATAAATAATTCATATAAGTAATAGAATGATCACAAGATAACACTATCATTATTTATCAAATAAGCAAGAATTTATCTTGCAATTTTAGCTTTTTCAGTTCCTACTAAGCGTCTTTTTAGTGATGCTAGTAATATATTAACGAATAAAAAAAATTGGCTTGATTCTACAAATATATATGATATTCTTTTTCTTAAGAAAAATTTAGCTTTCATGAATGTATTTTCAAAATTATTGCAAGAAAAGAGCTAATGTTAATATGTATGTTAGATAATAATAATATATGTATATGTATGTAATATTAATATATATTAACTTTATAATATAAATAAAGTATCTAAATAAGAAAATTTATATAATTATCAACTTGAGTTGGCTAGTCAAAGCAAAAAATTATAACTCAGTTGTACTGATATTTTATTATCAACTTGAAATACTATAGTTCTTTATTAACAATTAAAAATTTACTATATATAAGAGTTATCTAAAGTGAGGGTAATATATGAAATTAGTCTAATTAAATTTCAATATTAGCAAAGTTAACCAATCTAATTACAAGATTATATGTAATATATAAGTTCAAAAACAAGTAAAAAAATAAAAATTCATAAATAACTTAAAATTTTATTATGATAACTAGCCTTTAACTTCTAAATAATAAATGTTTAGCATAAAATTTTACTTGTATGTATATATTAAATATCAATAACTTAACTAAAAAAATTATTATTAATTTAATGATTTCATATGTTACCTCTACTTTAGTCATCTCCTATATATAGAAATATAATGAGAATTTATAGAATTATTTTATAACTTTTGATTATCTATATCTTAATCCAAGTTATTTGATATAAATCAGATTTCAATTTATTCATAATTAATCACATATTATTACTTACAATAATTTATTATTCATCAATAGTTAATATATGTGAATTATTATTACTATATCAAAATTACTACTCAGCTCTATTAATAATCATTAATAAGTTAAGATTTATCTTAACAGACAGAATAATATCATGCAAATCAGTAAAAAATAATCTATTCTAAATATATTACATCAATATAAAGAGATATCAACAGATAAAAAAAATTATACATCTTAGTAAGAATAATTTTTCTGGATTTTATCAATATTAAAAATATCTTCTTTATTAAAATAATATATTATCTAAAATAGATATAATATATATTGTTACCATTTTAAGATTATGCGTATGTAATTATTTTAAAATGGTAATAATGATTGTGTTCACGGCAATTATTTACTTTTATAAGTCCAAGAGGGTTATACGACTAACTATTTTCTGAATAAGGTAATATGTGTAGGATTTATAACTGACGAATTACAATTATCTTCTCAATAAGATAATTTATGCGTGCTTTACTTCTTAACAAAAATATGATTATCTTCTCAATA